AACATATAAACAAAAAGTAACAAATACTGGTAAAGTGGAGAAATCAGAACACTTGTGCATTTTTGGTGGGAATATAAAATGGTATAACTGTTGGAAAAACAGTATGGCAGCTCTTCAAACAAATAAAAGCAGAATTACCATATACAGCAATTCTATTTCTGAGTATACAACCAAAGAAGTGAAAGCAGGATCTCTTGAGGAGATATAAACACATACATGTCCACAGCAGCATTATCCACAATAGCCAATATGTAGAAGCAACCTGGAATCCCCTGATGGATGAATAAATAAAGAAAAGATGGTATCTTTTTTTCTTTCTCCTTCTTCTTAAAGAAGACCTTTATCATTTCTTATAATATCGCTTTGGTTGTTATAAATTCCTTTACTTTTTCATGTGTGGGAAACTCTTTATCTGTCCTTCAATTCTAAATGATAGCACTGCTGGGTAATCTTGGTTATAGGTCCTTGCTTTCCATCATTTTAAATGTTTCATGCCAATTCCTTCTGGCCTGCAAAGTTTCCGGTAAGAAATCAGCTGACAGTGTTATGGAAGCTCTCTTGTAGGTAATAACTGCTTTTCTCTTTCTGCCTTTAAGATTGTCTTTACTTTTGCATTTTAATTATGATGTGTCTTGGTATAGGCCTCTTTGGGTTCATCTTGTTTGGGACTCTCTAAGTTTCCTGGACTTGTATGTCTATTTCCTTTAACAATTTAGAGAAGTTTGCTCTTTTTTTTTTTTTCCTGCAGAGATTTTCAATTCCTTGCCCTCTCTCTTCTCATTTTGGCACCCCAATGATGCAAATGTTGGAAAACCTGAAGTTGTCCCAAAGGCTCCTTATACTATCCTCATGTTGGGAACCACCCCACCTAGTTTCAAAAGCTGTAATCCCCATGTCTAAGGCTGAATAAAAAGACCTTGGGACTGTAAGCCACTAAGGAGACAAAGCCTATCTCCCTGGCAGGGGCACCGCCTCTGTCCCCTTTACCTCACCCTGCTTGACCCCCAGTGGATGACCAGTTAGCAAATGATGGGTAAGATTCCTCAAGGGAGGGACAACCTAAGACAGGCATAATCATGAAGGGGCCCTCAGGGAAGGACTTGGGGGTCTATAGAAAAAGAGGGCAATGGACCCCTGCCTCTTGGCTTGACATGGCCTGATTCCTCATTCTGTCTGTAAGAAGTCTCCTAATCTCTTGGCTGCCTTATTTCCCCTACCCAACTTAAACCTGAAACAATGCCTTAAGCCTGAAACAATGCCAGAGGTGGGTGTGGCCCTGTGCTGGAAAAATTTGAAAATAGAATAAAAAAGAATGTAAATTAGAATGATCTAGGTGGGTTCCCTAGAAGGGATCAGGCCTAAGAAAGAACGCATAAAATCCTATGAAACCTACTTTGCTAATACTCTCAATTTAAATGATAAGGGTCCAAGCATGAAATGAGTTTGTTTCCCCAAAGTTTTATGGCTCTTTAGCTGTCTGACCCTGATTCAAAATAAGCTCTTGTAGTTCTCTGAATTTTATCTATTGTTCGATCCTTACTGCCTGGCAAAGATTAATGACCTTTACATATACGCCCTGTATTCCTATTCAAATTAAACCCAATAAAAGCCCATTGAGGAACAGGCTCCTGGCCCTTCTCCTTTGAGAGATTGGCCACCTTTCCTCCCCAGGCAGCTCATGTCTTGGTAAACTTACTCTCAACCATGGTGGCTGGGGGACCCTACAGGCGGAGCTCCCCCACATCCTCATTTTTTTATTCTTTTTTCTTTTTGCTGTTCTGATTAGGTGTTTCGGTTTCCTTATCTTCCAAATTGCTGGTTTAATCCTCTGCTTCATCCACACCACTGTTGATCCCCTGTAATGTATTCCCCATTTCAGTTAGTTATTCTTCATTTCTGACTCTTTCTTTTTTTATGGTTTCCATGTCCTTTATTATGCTGTTGGAGTTCTTACCTAGTTATTTGAGCATCCTTATAACTATTGTTTTGAATTCTGTATCTGGTAGTTTGCCTGTCTCTATCTCATTAGTTTTTTTTTCTGGAGATTTCTGTTGTTTGTTTATTTGGGACCTATTTGTCTCATTTTGACTCCTTCTCCGTGGTTGTTTCTATGTATAAGGTAGAGCTACTACATTGCCCAGATTGGTAGACTTGGCCTTATGCAGTAGGTGTTCTGTAGGGGCACAGTGGCACAGCCTCCCCAGTCACCTGAACTGGATGCTTCAGGTATAACCCCTGTATGGGCTGTGTGCACCCTTCTATTGTAGTTGAAGCTTGATTCCTGTTGGCATGTAATTGGAAGGGATTGATCCTGTCAGGTTGTTTGGCTGTAAGCACTGTCCATAACCACAATGGAGGATCTGCTGTGCAGGAACCAACTGTACAAAGGAGACTTGCTTCAGTGGTGCTTTAGTGACCTTTGAGTCCATTCCTTGAGTATTCCACTCATGGAGGTGGTTGGGTCGTAATCCAGCATAGTCTAAAAATGTCAACTGGGTTTACTGGATCTGGGGCCTTCTGGGAGGTACAGACCAAGGTCATCTAGCACTTGTACCCTGACAGAAAACACCAAGTATAAGCTAGAGAGCAATCTGAAAATAGCTGCCACTTGTGCAGGGCTTGGAGGTACCTGGGAGAGGTCAACCTGCCAACTGAGGCTTGCTGGGCTAGTACCAGGTGTAGGTCCACAGATATTGCTTGTTTGAGAGATTTTAGGAAAATTAGAAGCATGAACCAAAAGAAAGCTGTTTATATAAAAAAGCCACTATAAAAGGCTTTTGTGAGCCCACAAGTTAGGTGGAGCAGAGAATCACGAGCACGGGGAATCAGTGTTAGCCAGGTTGATGGAGATTCAAATATGGTACCCACTGGCCTGCTCTGTTGGGGGAGGGCTTATCAAAGGTACAATGGCCTGTGCTATCACTTCTGTCCAGCAGAAAGCTGCCCCCCCAGCTCTAACTGTGATGTCAGATAATTCAGTTCCTCCCTGTATATCTTGGTGCCTTTCAAGCTGCCTCCCCAGTGCTGAAGCTCAGAGCAAGTGAGTCCAGGTAAGTCTGTGCTCAACCCTTTAAGAGAAATACATGGAACTCCAGACACCTAAATTAAAATACTATCTGGCTACTTCATAACAGAAAATTCTAAATTATTTTGCCCCTCCAAATGCAGTAGTAATCTGAGACAAATTTTTCTTAGAATACTAAGATTAAATTTAGAGTTTAGTTATAGGTTGCATGATAAATATTATTCTACATTCTGGAAAGAAGTACCAAATTCTCTCAAAACACTACAACACATTACTATAACCCACTATTGAAGCATAATTCTTCGCAGTTTCTATGTCACTTAAGTCCACATAAGTACACTAGTTTTCACAATGGCTGCAGTAAACAGATCTATAACCCTACTGTGCCAGAATTACACCTTACAAATAATACAATAATGAAATTATGTAATTTACTCCTTAAAAATGGGTAAAATCTTTCTAAAAAATTATAAAGTTTCCTCCCATATCCATAAAAAATAGAACTATTCGTACAAATAAGTATTATTCAATATTCATTTAGAAAAAATATTTACATTCACACATCTTAATTAAATATTTATAGGACTGAAAGGACAACTTTTAATCTTCATTGGAATTAAAAGCATGGAAAAAGAATATTGGCAATTCTTTTGATGAAGAAAAGAGAGAGGTTAAGAAAAAAGCTGAGAGAGTTGGTTTTGGAAAGTCATACCTGAAATAATTACACTAAAATATTGAATATTCAATTGTTTTCAACAGTCTGTCTTGTGACTAAATTTTTTAATGAGTGAAAGATCATTATGGAATCTATAACCTTCAGGTTCAACACATTTTTTAAAAGATTTTATTTATTTACCTTTAGAGGGGAAGGGAAAGAGAGGGAGAGAAATACCAATGTATGGTTCCCTTTCATATATCCCCTGCTGGGAACCAGCCTGCAGCCCAGGCATGTGCCCTGACTGGGAATTGAACTGTGGTTATTTGGTTCAAAGGCCCATGCTTAATCCACTGAGCTACACCAGCCAGGGCACATTTTTTGGTTTTTTTCCTTACAACATTCTCAATAAATTATAAGAGTTGTGGGATTATAGACTACATGTGATGTGGAAGGCTGATTTTCTGTTAAAATATATTTTACTTGCATGCATTATACAACATTAAAGAAAGCACCTGCCAGCACTCAATTTTCTTTTCTTTGCTGCCCAAGGCTTAACTAGTCCTGATTTTTTTTTTTTTAAAGTTGTTCTTCCTGGGAAGGTATTATCATGTAGAAGATAGTGCACATGGTTTCCAGTAAATATACAACTGCAAAAAAATAAATAATTCACAAAATAGAAAGTGACATTATATCAAAGTACATACATGTTGATAAAGAATGGGTTGACAATAAGCAAAAAGATTAAAAATTGAAACATAAAATTCTTCAAAAACCTTGTGCTGTATACAGCTTTCTAATGTAAAACATTAGAAATATATTTGATCTACTCAAATATATTATTCAAATTATTATTTTATATTTGTAATTGTCTTATAGAAATTATTATAAATAATTCAAAAAAATACTTAAAATTGATGTGAGTAAATTCAATCTCACCTTCCCAAGCAAAGAAACTACTAATCATCTTCTCTGCTTAGTATCTACTATCCTACTGGAAAGATATCAGCAGCCATGAGCCATATCCCTTGAAAGTCAATCATTAATCTAACACTGTCCCTTCCTCTAATATCTCTTACATTTCTAAAAAGTAACTTTATCTCTGTTTAAACCATTCTATGTGCTTCACTATGTGTAACAAAAATAGAATAAAAAAAGAAATAATGTAAATTAGAATGATCCTGGTGGATGAAATTAAAAGCCAAAAAATATTAGAAAAGAATTGCTTAACCTTAAGTCAATTCGCAGTTACAACTCTTTTGAGAAAAGTCACACCAACCATAGACTTTTAAATAATAATATTAACAGGCAAATACTCACAAAGAAGGATCTTGTACAAGATCTTTGAGATTTATCCCACTGCGATCTTCTGCAAGATTCCTGAAGCAACTATCACTCACTAGACAAGAAAGGGGAAAAGAAGAAAAATTATTTTTTGTTTATGTTTCATTTAAATCACTGCTGATGAAAAGAAAGTTTGAAATTAAAATTGGCTCTCAAAATACACTTTTCCAAACAGCAATCTTGACCAATATCTGGGCCCAGTACATTTAGCAACAATATTAATATTCAATAACAAACCAATAATCTAAAAACAAACTTTATATAAATATAATAGATAAAAGAGTAATGTGTCGATCTAAATTTTTTTACTTTTACAAAGCTAATTTACCAGCACACAGCAGCATGTCACTACTTCCACAACACCTAGAAAAAAAGATAAATTATCTCCCCAAATTATATTTTTAAATATACTGGAAAACAATGGAAGCAAAATGGATAAACTAAGAGAAAAGTGACATCTAATCTTAGGTAAACTAAGTCTCCTGATTGCTTTCATGTCTCAGAGATTTGCCATTTAGACACAAACTAAGAATCAGAAAGAGTGACACTACCACTCCTTCCAGAAATTGGAATCTAATGGAACCCCCCAGACCAAATAGCTTTCCCAAGAGATCTACTGGGGACTGAGACTGTACAAGTAGACCGAGAAAGAAGGAGAGGCTGAGTTAGAGGAAAAAGTAATGTTTTCTGGAGTGTTATTAAGAATAGAAGTCAAAAACACACTATACAACAGGTGGTGCCTACCACTTTTAGTATAGAATTTCAACAAATCTTCCATCAAGACATTTGTTCTCATTCAAAAAACACCCTACACCATTTACTCATAGAGGGGGATGAGTAAATGGAGGCAAAACTCAAAAAGTGGAGTAAAATCTCCCACAGTTTCACAGTTCATTAAATACAAAGTCATACTGGAGAGAAATACCTGCAACCCAACAGGTCTTGCCCTTAAGACATTTAACCAGAGGCAGACTAGGTATATCTAAAGCTGTAATTCAAATCACCCAGCTCAATCCATAGTGGAATAGAGGGGATTAGCACTTCATCATTTTTTTCTAATATAGGAGAAAAATAACATTTACATGAATCTGTGATACTATAATAAACAGTCTTTGGTATACCATAATAACTACGAAGCATAGGAAGGGACACAAAATGTGAGCAATAACCAAGAGAACAAATAACATCTATTAGCTGACCCATATATGACACAGATTTAGAAGACAAATACTGTAAGACTTTAACAAAAGTCAAACATGGTATGGAAACATGTTTGACGTAGAAGAAAACAAAATTTCAACAGATAATTTAAATCTACTGAAAATAATATGATCTCACTTTTGTTCATTAGTGGAACCTAATGAACAAAACAAACAACCGAGCAAAATATAACCAGAGACAGTGAAATAAAGAACAAATTGGCAGTAACCAGAGAGGAGTGGGGAGAGGAATAATGGGGGAAAATAGGGGAAGGGCTATCAAGGAACATGTATAAAAGACACCTGGACAAAGCCAAAGGGCGTAGGTTTGACAATGGGGCAGGGGGAGTGGGGCAAAAATGGAAACAACTATACTTGAACAACAACAAAAAAGAATTAGTCACTTTAGAACTAAAAAATACAATATGTAAAACAGAAATCAGTGGCTGGGTTTTATAGCTGACTCAACACAGCCAAACACAGGTTAATGAACTTGAATAGACAAGCAGATACCCAAGTAGAGCAAAGAGAGAAAAAAACAAATGAAAAGAACAAAATGTAAGAGACATGTGGGAATCAAAAAGCCCAATGTAACTGCAGTTGAGGAGAGAATGAGGATAAACTAATAGTTACAAGTGAAAAAAAAACCAAGAATATAGAATATACCAAAACTGATACATTAACTCACTAAGAAAATATAGACAACCCAACACTGAAAAACATGAAAGAAAAATCATATCCAGCAGTGAAATGGCTGAAAATTAAATATAATAAGAAAATATATACAGCAAGGGAAGAAAAAGAACACATTAACATAAAAAGAAAAGCAAATTTACAGCTGAGTATTCAACATAAGCTATGGAGTCCAGAAGACAATAGAATAACATGTTTCAGATGCTGGCGGAGGAGGGCAGAATCTGAGAACCTAAATCTATAACTCAATAAAATATCAATTCTAAAATTAATGCAAAATAAAACTTTATATAATATTTTACATTTGTTAGCATAAATATTGAATGATCATGTTCTATTTCAAGTTAACACACACATACACACACACACACACACACTCTACATAAAAAGCAAGAAGACCAGAACACTTGCCTGGTTTTTTTATCTGGATATTATATTACCTTTTTCAACGAGAGTCCCTCAAAATTATAAGCTTTAAGCTCTCAAATCTGCACTTGCTCCTGATGTAAATGATTAATACACACAAACAAAGATGTATTAAAAATATCTGAAATTGAAAAAAAGTTTGGATTGCTTATTATTCCCAAGAATATACCCCCTCCTTTTTGCAATGAGTGGAATAATTTTGATAAATATATAATTTTTATTTCATATTTAACAACACTGATCTCAACCTGTTGATTTTAAGCAAATTTTCTGCTTTTCATAATTTTAACACAAATGCTTTTAATTATACCATTTCCTGAGTAGGGCCAAATATAAATAAAATGTTGCCACACTTCAAGAAAAATTAGTTTCCAGATGAGCTGAACTAAAATTGAAAGTGTAATACATTATATCATAAAATTTGTTCTCATAAAGTTTCTAGCCCGATTTAGCAAATATGAATGCTTAGTTATGAACTTCAAGAGCCTGAAAGTTTGAGAGGCTTAATTAAAGTCGAATATATCTTTACTCCTTTAAGGGCTTGTCAATCAGCTACCTGTGAAATGAGTTTTGCTAAAAACTGGTACTTTTCAAACATTCATGCTCTATCCATATTTTAAGTTAAAAACAAAGGAAAAAGTCTAAAGTTCTTTTAAACTAAAACCTGAAACTTTGGCTGCCCAATAAAATACATTTGTTTTTAATTAAGATTATTTTCACTAATACCACAAATATTGTTTCCAAATTATAAATAAGATATGGTACATTTTAATTAGCAAATGAGCATACTTTTTCATGTGTAAAACACATAAATCCATCTTGGTCATATTTTACCCCCAGCATATTGCCAACTAAAGAAATTACTATGCTCTCTGTTCCACTGATTAATAAATACTCTTCAACATGTCACTACAAAAAACAGATAAAACAGAAGAAATTAAAATAGAAACAGGTAGTCAAAGTTTATGGCACTAATATGAAAACTATAAACTTGCATATCAATCTGGGTTCTATTCATGTAATAACTTTGAGGGGAACAGAGAAAAATTAATTACAAATGTTTGTAAAATGCACTTCATCAGCAGAGTTCTTATTCAACATATGCATTTTTTCCTGTAAATGTTCATTTTCTAGATCTATAATCAAGATGTGCTAAGCATTTCATATCAATATCTCAATCTTCACAATCATCCAGTAATATACCTACTATTTGCATACCCCTTTTCCAGATAAGAAACCAAAGCAAGGAGAGACTGAGCATCCTACTAGAAATCATATATCTAATAAATAGCAGTACTGGGAAAATCCAGAGCCTGTAACTCTAGAGCCTGCACTCTTAACCACTATGCAATACTGACCATAGTTCTCATAGATTTCTCATCTATTCTGGAGTCTCATGCAGAATATATGAAAAACTTTCCACAATTGTAAAATAAGTAAAATTATCCTATTATAAGTAATTATGAGGTAATAAGTACCATCCAAAGTATTATTAAAAATTAAAGTTTTAAAAGCTAAATCAAAAATTAGGGATCTTCTAGTTAAGTGGCTAGTTAACTGTACTTCATATCTCATGGGTTCTATGGTGGTATCTCGGATCAATGACATCCTTTTTCTCTTTCAGCTAAAGAGTTCTATCATTGTTTTATATATTATACTGCTTGAAAAACTACACGTAAAGAAATTTTTGCCACAGAAAATTTTATAGAGGCTGAAACACACACATACATGCATACACAGATACCTTAAAACAATATTAGTTGTCCTCTCCATTATTTTATAGAAGAGAAGCACTATTTTCCTGTGATCAATAAAAGTCAGCATTCTAACTCAGTATAAACTTAGAAATTTGTAAAATGGACCCTTAGCAAGGTTATTAACTTACTGTAAGTACCATTTTTGTGTATGTTAATCTTTCTGGTCAATAATCAAGTTGACATTTATTATGTGCTAAGCACTTCACATACCTATACTTACTTGTATAAAGTATAATACAGTATTATATAGAAGTCCTATTATTTGAATGATTCCATCTGGTTATTAGCAACTCTGTTACAAAAGACCTGGGTATCTATTTCTTACTTTTAGGATAACATCTATATTCTACCTTGCTATGGTCAGGAAGGATATACCTATAACAAGTAAATTTCTATCCTCAAAAGTACATGTTCAAAATATAGCATAGGGAGAATTCAATATTTATAAAATTAATTGTATTGTCCCATGTCTGAAAGCACAAAAAGAGCCATATGAAAACTCCTTAAAAAAAAAAACAGGCTCAATTTTTCAATTTCAAAACCCATTTATTCTCTAGTGTCTTAATATTCTGTGAAATAAAATTACAAAGTAAGGAATGGCCTTGTAAAAACAACTGATATTAAAATGAAATGCAACCCTATTCTATAGACAATTCCAGTTAATTCACTCAAAGCTTGACTGGACAATGAGATAATAGTTTAAAATCAGAGAAAAGAAAAAAATACTGAAGTGAGCATTTCAAAAAAATAAGTATTTGAGTATCAAAAAGTTAAGAGCTGGTTTTCAGGTACATTACATATACTTCCAAATATGCTCCTCTCCCTGATTATACGGTGAAAGGTAAATGTTTAGTGAAAAAGTTACAATGCAATAATTTTTAAATAGAGCCAAAATATTCAACACTTAATTTGTTTTATTCTATCTTGAAAATATATGATAGTTTAATACCTGATATAGGAAAATTTTGACTCCACAATTC